GTTAGACTTCTTGCTTAGCACGTCACCAGGACCAAGACGGTCCAAGGCCGGTTAGACTTCTTGCTTAGCACGTCACCAAAACCAAGACGGTCCAAGGCCGGTTAGACTTCTTGCTTAGCACGTCACCAAGAGGCCACCAAGACCAAGACGGTCCAAGGCCGGTTAGACTTCTTGCTTAGCACGTCACCAAGAGGAGAGCACGGGAAGCTTATCTGTACCACCGAAGGAAACGGTCCTATCTTTGACCACGTTCCACGAAGAACTCCCCAACCTCCTCCTTACGTTGAGGATAAGTCGTGATCTCCACCAAGGATAATCTCTGAGCTGCGATAAAGAAGCCTTGAGGATATGTCATGATCTCCACAAGAATGATCTCTTAGCTACTATAAAATGGCTCTAATCTGGGAGAGGAAGAGGACATCCCACCAGAGACATACAGAGGACGAATCGACTACCGGAGATTACTATTTTTCTTTGATTCTCCATTCTCTCTCTCAAAGTTTGTATCTACATTCTCCATACCTTTGAATCAATAAAATACCCGGCAACTGAAGCCATTGAAGAGTGGACGTAGGTCGAATTGACCGAACCACTATAAATTGTGTCTTCTCTAATTTTTTCATTGATTTCATTGCATTTATTATCTACACTTGACGGGTGGTGTGCAAAACCATTTTTGTGCATCATCAGTTTGGCGCCGTCTGTGGGAATCGACAAAATTCTCACTCCTGAACATTACGTCCATTAACTAATGGCGATCACTACTCGATCCATGAACCAACACGAAGACAATCCTCCACGAGAGGAGGAGGTTGCTCCCCCGCCTATCAACCCTGTTCCGGATACTTTAGCCCCGAATCTCCAACAAATATTGGAGACCATGCAGCAACTGGTTGCTCAAAACCAACAGTTACTGCAACTCATACTTGCTGGACAAGGAGGAGCACCACACGGAGGTGCACAACATGGAGGACCCCAAGGTGGAGCACCACACGGCGGTGCACAACGTGGAGCACCACATGGAGGTGCACAACATGGAGGGCCCCACAGAGGTGCACAACATAGAGCACCCCAAGGAGCTCCACATCCTGAACATCAAGGAGCACCACGCCCTGTTGCTCCACGCCAAGGTGCCCCATTGGGCACCCCACTTCAGGAAGCCCAACATGAGGAAGCTGCACCTCCCCCTCCCCTTGCTTTCCAGGGAGAGGACCCTTATCTCCAGGAGGATGAGAGTGAAAACCAAAGCATGGGGCATGGAAGCCACTTCCATGATCATTCCATAGGAGCCCCCAATCATTGGGACGAGAAGATAAAGGAGGTACAGAATCAACTCGGTGTTGTCTTCAACGCCATGAAGGCACAGGGACCCGAGACTGTTGACCACCTGGTAAGGCGTATTGATACCCCTTTCAAACCTGATGTAGCAAACTACCCCCTCCCTCAGAAGTTCAAAATGCCATCTGTGGAGACCTTTGATGGAACAAAGGATCCACTGGACCACCTCGACACTTACAAGACCTTGATGCAATTGCACAACGTACCAGACGAAATCATGTGCAGGGCATTCCCAACCACATTAAAGGGGTCTGCCCGACAGTGGTTTGCTAAACTCTCCCCCGCCTCTATTACCTCTTTTGCCGAGCTTAGCAGATCATTCGTCTCACACTTCATAGGAGGGCGTCGCCACCAGAAGCCAGTTATGCACCTGCTTAGTATAAAGCAGGACCGCGAGGAGAGCCTGAGGAGTTACCTCACTCGTTTTAACGAGGAGGTACTCCAAGTTGATGAACCCGACTACAAGGTGACGATGACCGCCTTCTTGGGTGGCCTCCGTTCATCAAGTTTCCTTTTCTCAGTTCTGAAGCGCCCACCGAAGAGCATGCCAGAACTATTCACAAAAGCTCAAAGATATATGAATGCTGAGGAAATCAACAAGTTTAGGCAAGGTGAATCATCTCACAGATCACCAGAAACTTGACCTGCCTCTGCACTGTTCTCAAACAGGCAGTTTATCTCCAGCTTAGCGGCTCTCTCACGGGTCGCCAAAAAACTTAGCCTCTGTACTGTTCTCAAACAGGCAGTCTATCTCCAGTTTAGCGGCTCTCTCACGGGTCGCCAAAAAAAAAAAAAAAAAAAATTGGCCTCTGCACTGTTCTCAAACAGGCAGCCTATCTCCAGTTTAACGGCTCTCTCACGGGTTGCCAAAAAACTTGGCATCTGCACTATTCTCAAACAAGCAGCCTATCTCCAGTTTAGCGGCTCTCTCACGGGTCGCCAAAAAAAAAAATAAAAAAATTGGCCTCTGCACTGTTCTCAAACAGGCAGCCTATCTCCAGTTTAGCGGGTCTCTCACGGGTCCCAAAAAAAAAAAAAAACTTAGCCTCTGCACTGTTCTCAAACAGACAGCCTATCTCCAGCTTAGCGGCTCTCTCACAGGTCGCCAAAAAAAAAAACTTGGCCTCTATACTGTCAGGAAGTCTATCTCTAGCTTAGCGGCTCTCTTGGAGGTCGCCAAAAAAGCTTGGCCTCTGCACTGTTCTCAAACAGACAGCTTATACCTCAAGCTTAAAGGCTCCCTCATGGGTCGCCAAAAGCTAGGTCTCAAAAAGTGTAGCTCTCTCACGAGCAGTTCTCCAACTCTGTCTTTGCTCTTGCGCAAGCAGCCTACTTTTCCCTCTCCAAGTAATTATGTGAGATATTTTAATGTTTGAAATAACATTATTTTTGTCATCACAAGCAGGCTCTCCCGAGGCAGCCCTAGGCTCACCCAAGGCGCCCAGCATCTGGAGAAGGGCTTGATCATCAAGAGCAACACCCAAAGCTTCCTTACTACTTACAAAGTCTAGCCCAGCGCCTAGAAGTGTGTCTGACTGCTGTTGCTTGTCAAAACAAAGTTGCCCAGTAGCTTGAAGGGTGTCTGGCCTTCAAAATTGCACAAAGCAGAATTTTCGGCGCAAAAATCAGCACCTAAGGGGCCCAAATCAGCGCCTTGAGTGAGAATCGGATCAGCCCGTGCTCCCAAGCCACTGCCTAGCTCTCCCTGATGAACCTTGGACTGATTTTAGCGCCCCTTGATGGAAAAATACTGTTGTACAGCGTTCCAAAGCTGCCCAGCGCAGCAGAATTGAAGCTGCCCAGCACAGCTGAGCTGCCCGGGACAGCAGAAGCAGCAGCCAGGCTGCTGCCCAGCGCATCTGGGCTGTCCAGGACAGCAAGGCCAGCGCCCAGGCAGCTGCCCAACGCGCCTGGGCTGTCCAGGACAGGAGGAGCAGAGCCTAGGTAGCCGCCCAGGCCCCCACAGCGCGCATACGCACTGCCCAGCTGCGCGTCTGCGCTGCGCAGCCACGCGCCTGCGCTGCCCAGCCGCGCGCGCTGCCTAGCTGCGCACCTGCGCTGCCCAGTCGAGCGCCCAGCGCGCCAGCGCTGCCCAATCGCGCGCCCAGCCGTCTCCCTTCACTGCCCAAGCCACTCCTCGCGCTGCCCATCTCCCCTTCGCTGTCCAGCCCTTCATTTTCAGCCCCAAAACTGTCCAAGACAGCATTCGAATGCTCAAAACTAGTCTCCAAGTTCTCAAAAATGGTGTCTACTTCCTCCATTTCTTCAACCTCCACCACTCCCTCTTCAAAATAAAATGGGAAAGATTTGAAGTTTTTTAAAAAAAAAAAAAATGTAATCAATGCCTCCTTCTCCAAGTCTCCTTGGACATGGGGCATCGGGGGGCAAATGATGGGTTAAGCCCAAATAGTCCAATTTATGTATTAAAGTCCAACCCCGGTTGAGGAGCCCAACCTCATTGTGAATCCACCAAGTCCAAGACAGTCCAAGGCCGGTTAGACTTCTTGCTTAGCACGTCACCAGGACCAAGACGGTCCAAGGCCGGTTAGACTTCTTGCTTAGCACGTCACCAAAACCAAGACGGTCCAAGGCCGGTTAGACTTCTTGCTTAGCACGTCACCAAGAGGCCACCAAGACCAAGACGGTCCAAGGCCGGTTAGACTTCTTGCTTAGCACGTCACCAAGAGGAGAGCACGGGAAGCTTATCTGTACCACCGAAGGAAACGGTCCTATCTTTGACCACGTTCCACGAAGAACTCCCCAACCTCCTCCTTACGTTGAGGATAAGTCGTGATCTCCACCAAGGATAATCTCTGAGCTGCGATAAAGAAGCATTGAGGATATGTCATGATCTCTACAAGAATGATCTCTTAGCTACTATAAAATGGCTCTAATCTGGGAGAGGAAGAGGACATCCCACCAGAGACATACAGAGGACGAATCGACTACCGGAGATTACTATTTTTCTTTGATTCTCCATTCTCTCTCTCAAAGTTTGTATCTACATTCTCCATACCTTTGAATCAATAAAATACCCGGCAACTGAAGCCATTGAAGAGTGGACGTAGGTCGAATTGACCGAACCACTATAAATTGTGTCTTCTCTAATTTTTTCATTGATTTCATTGTATTTATTATCTACACTTGACGGGTGGTGTGTAAAATCATTTTTGTGCATTATCACCAGATATTCATAATACTCCATCATAAAAAATCCTTTTCTTCGATTAAGATAGAATAGACAAAATAAAGATTACATTCTCACATACGAGCACAAATTGGGTGCGTGAAAGAGAGAGGGGGTGTGTGTGTCAATCTCACACGTTAAGTTTCTATCATCAGAAGGAAAGAAAGTTAAAAAAATAAAGAAATTATAATTTAATTGTACGACCGTCTTGTTGGTTTGATTTTCGCTTCATAATGACACCAGAAAGGTTTGAGGTTTGTGTCATAGTCATTGGCGGAGATGACGATAATAACGATGAAATGTGGTGCTATTTTATTAGAGAAGGTTAGCAATAAAATTAGTATTTTTGTTGATGGCCATCAATGATTGTGATTGTAAAAACAATGATTAAGCGGTAAAGTAATGAAAAAGATTAAAACTGTAAGGGGTCTCATTGTAATTATCACTCTATTCTATTCTCCGAATCCTTTGATTGAAGTGAATAGCAAAACATAACAGTAAGGCAACCGACCTGAATGCTTCCGACGACCGCTCTCTCTCTCACCCTTCAGTTTCTCTCTCTATATGTATCTTTACAATCTCTATTCATATCTCTCTTGTTCTCTCACAATTTGGCGTTGATAATCTAACTTTTCTCTTTGTAAACCTCTCTTTCTTCTTAGTTAAGATTTGGGTTTTGTGGAATTCAGTATTTCAGTTCAAATTTACTTGGAAACCCACTAGACTCGTGTATGTCTCTCTCTAGAAAAATCCGCTCATGATCATGAGGGATTTGAATTGAAGTTAGATTTTAGCTAATTTAGGGTTCTATTGTGGAGATGAAGAGAGCGAAGTTGGACCTGTTCATGTCACTTAGTCGACAAAGATCGATTCAAATTCTGATATTTGTGGGTGTTTTGTATGTGTTCATGGTGAGTTTAGAAGTACCCTTCGTGTTCAAAACTGGGCTCAGTTCAGTCACTCAAGAGGGCTTCAGTGACCCATCGTCTATGTCTTTTGTTCTAGATAGCGAAGAGGAATTGGAAGAAAAAGACGCCCCAACTCGACCCATGAAAGTCCCCCTTAGGGTTCCAAGTCAATCACAAAAATTTAGACCCGGTAGAAGAATTAGAGAGAATAAAATCGTATCGAGTTTGAATTTTGATGGTAGCCTTGTTAATGTAAATAGAAAAGATGGGTTTTCTGGGATTCTGAATAATGCAAAGGAAGCATTTGAAGTGGGGAAGAGGCTTTGGGAGGAGCTTGAATTGGGTTCAAAAGGTCAAAACTCCTATAATAAGAAAGTAGAGAATAGAACTGAGTCATGTCCACATTCGATTTCAATGTCAGGAACAGAGTTTTGGGAGAAAGGTAGAATGATGGTGTTGCCATGTGGGTTGACATTGGGATCACATATAACAGTGGTGGGGAAGCCGAAGCAGGCGCACCCAGAGAACGACCAGAAGATATCATTGTTGAAGGAGGGTCAGTACGTGATGGTTTCACAATTTATGATGGAGTTGCAAGGGTTGAAGACTGTGGATGGAGAGGACCCACCAAGGATTTTGCATTTTAATCCTAGGTTGAAGGGAGATTGGAGTGGGAAGCCTGTTATTGAGCAGAACACTTGCTATAGGATGCAATGGGGAACAGCGCTACGGTGTGACGGGTGGAAATCGAAGGCTGATGACGAAACTGGTGAGTTAATTATCGAGTTGAGGTCTTACTGATTATGTACACGTGAGCTTATTATTTGCTCCTTGATTTGTTTTTGTTAATAGCTGCCTTATCAATTAGTTCCTTAGATTTAGTCTATTAGAGGTAAATACATAGTAATTTAGGATGGGAAGTGGAGGGTCTTTATAGTGTTCTTTACCCAAGGAAAATAGACGTTGTAGCTCAACTTAAGCAACCTTGCCAGCTTTGGGGATTTGAGTATACACCTTGACTAACTAAAAATCAATGCGATGGAGAATTTTCACCAACTTATTGTAACCTCAAGTCAAAGATATTTTGTGTGACGAAGTGATCTATGAATCATTTGATTTATGGGATGAGGGACGTGTAAATGGATAAATGCTGGTTTTTGCGAGTTAACAGGTTGGATTCTGGATTTTTAATAGTTCCAATCCAATTTTACTTTTTTGTTACCATTATTCAGATAGAAAGTGATATGACACAGAACATTTTGCAGGTTATTTTCATTGTTACAGTGATTGCCATCTTTTTTTAATACAAATTTAAATCAATTAAAGTGAAAAAAGCAGAGTTATGATTCTGATCATTAGATAATTTATCCATTGGCACTTAAATCTTGTCCATTCTGCTGTCCCCTTTATGTAATTATCTGGACTTTGTGCAGTTGATGGTCAAACGAAATGTGAGAAGTGGATCAGAGATGATGGCGATCACTACGAGTCATCGAAAGCAACATGGTGGTTGAATAGGATAATAGGCAGAACAAAGAAGGTCAATTTTGACTGGCCATACCCTTTTGAAGAGGACAAGCTATTTGTTCTAACTCTTAGTGCTGGCTTAGAGGGTTATCATGTCAATGTTGATGGGAGGCATGTCACCTCATTTCCTTACCGCATTGTGAGTAACATAGCTGCAATCTTTTATTTATTGATGAGTGTGGATGGTTCTTGAGGTTGTGAGTTAATGTTAATAGGGGTTTGCGCTCGAGGATGCCACTGGGTTATATCTGAATGGAGACCTTAATGTCAATTCAATATTTGCCGCTTCCTTGCCCACATCACATCCTAGTTTTGCTCCTCAAAAACTTCTTGACATGTCGACCAGATGGAAGGCGCCGCCTCTTCCAGATGGGCCTGTTGAACTGTTCATTGGTATTCTTTCGGCAGGCAACCATTTTGCTGAGCGTATGGCTGTAAGAAAGTCTTGGATGCAGCATAAACTTGTCAAATCTTCAAATGTTGTGGCTCGTTTCTTTGTAGCGCTGGTAGGTGAAGACACTGGTGGCATGCGTATTGAAATAAATAGTGAATTATTTATGTCCTTTAAGTTGCATTTCTGGGAATGTTTAAATTTATTTTGGGACTAATGTTTTGACAGCATCCAAGAAAAGAAGTGAATGTGGAGTTGAAGAAAGAAGCAGAGTTCTTTGGTGACATAGTCATAGTGCCTTACATGGATACCTATGACCTTGTCGTTTTGAAAACTGTTGCCATCTGTGATTATGGGGTGAGTATTGCATCACGATGTAAGAATGAAGTGTAGGAGGAGCTAATGTTATTTTTACACCCAGAGACCAATCATATTTGATGTCACCATATGGTTTCAGGTTTGCACTGTATCTGCGAAGTATATTATGAAGTGTGATGATGACACATTTGTTAGAGTAGATGCAATTATTAAGGAAGCAAAGAAAGTACCTGAATCTAGAAGCTTGTATGTCGGGAACATCAATTACTACCATAAGCCCTTGCGTAATGGTAAATGGGCGGTGACATATGAGGTATGGTTAAATCTATTTTCAGACTTGTCCATCTATCCTGTTATTTTTTACTTTCTTTGCCATTTATATGTGAAATCAACTTCATTCTTAATGGCATATTTTTATGTAAATGGTTATCACGTATTCAAGGCAGATCCTTAGCATAGTTTTCCTTGGATGTACACTGGGACATTTTTTGAGTGTAACATATCCAAAGGCTGATTGCAATGTCACTATGGTTTCTCCACTTTGGCTGATAGATTTTTCCCCTTTGTTTCTTAAGATTACATGCCCTCTCATCAACTAGAAATTTGGTTTCAAGCTTTCAATTATTCTTTCTATAGGTATATAAAGAAGTATATTTTCCTAGTTTTCCAATATTAATATGTATAGTAACGGTTTCTCACATCTTTGATGTTGGATTTTGGTTGTCTTAATGCAATTTCTTTCTCTATTTGGGTGGTTCAGGAATGGCCCGAAGAAGATTATCCACCTTATGCAAATGGGCCTGGCTACATCGTGTCATCGGACATTGCACACTTCCTCGTACAGGAATTTGAGAAACATAAATTAAGGGTATCTGAAATCCTCTCTCTCTCTCTCTCTCTCTCTCTCTCTCTCTCTCTCACACACACACACACACACATGGGACACTAACTATTATGCACACATTTGATGAAGGTGATTGCGGGGTTTCTTGCCAGTGATTATTTATTAGTTCCACTTTGTGCAGTTGTTCAAGATGGAAGATGTCAGTATGGGAATGTGGGTGGAGCAGTTCAACCGCTCAACACCAGTAGAGTACGTACACAGCTTGAAGTTTTGTCAATTTGGGTGCATCGATGATTATTACACAGCACACTACCAGTCTCCGAAGCAAATGATATGCATGTGGGACAAATTACAACAGCTTGGAAGGCCTCAGTGTTGCAACATGAGATGACAATGGTTGCTTGGTGAAAATATGGAGAATTTGAGAGTTGAGGAACTGGGGGGAAAACAAGTTTTGCAGTCATAGCTTCTTTTTGTATATGGTGGAGGGTCGGGTTAGATGTATTAGGGCTGTTTAGGGGCCATTAAAATCCATTCATTATTTTCTCCCTTTTTTGGCCCTTTTACCTTGAGGATGGAAAATGATGAGGTGGGTTAGTTGTGCAGTGAACACTTGCATACACATCCTATTTCTGTAATTGACTATAGAAATCAGAGCAGATGTGAATGAATCATCAGTAGATTCTCACTACTGTTTTTTTTTTTTGGTCTCCTCTGGCATGCTTTGAAGCTTTTGGAGTATGAATGCTGATTCTGTGTGTGTGTGTGTGGTGAAGTAGTCAGGTGTTTTATTTTTATCTTGTTTACACTAGATTTTGTGGTTGCATGTATTGAGATCGACCCTTGATGTAGTAGTCACAGAAATAATCATATGGCTATGGTTGAGTTACAGAAATGGTCATATTGTATGTAAGGAGGAGGAGGAGGAGAGGGGGGGGGGGATAGCAAGACAAAAGTGGAAGTAGAGATGGAATTGAGACAGCACTGGTTCATGGAAAAGGTGACGAGAGGTTGGTTAAGCTGTTCTTGTCACTCAACAACGAAAGAGACAATCACACCAATGATGGTGGATGAAGCAATTACTGGCCTCCATGAGATTGGTGAAGAGGAGCATAGCCATCCAACAATTGGAGATGGTCCTCTGACTCCTCCTCCATTAGGATCATGGATCAGGCACCATGGTCATCAGTCTAGATGAACTATCCCAAGGATGTCAATCGAGCCGGATCATATCATGTTTAAATCAGACATCTTTCAACACATATCCGTTCCCATAGATAAAAAAAAAAAAAAATCAACACAATTCACATTTAAGCGAGAGCAAATAACTTATAATTCATTAACAATTTATATAATACTTGATCAAGAAACGAAAAAAATAACTAAAAAAAAGACTTTTTTTCTTACAATACCTAACCAATTATTATTTGTATTAATTAGTATTATTAGTTGCATGTCCTCGTGTCACTATATTGGCACTACTCACCCGTACTTCATGATTGCTGAGAGTACTGCACATTGCCTTCGAATACGTTTTTTAATTGGTGAGATCCACCTGACAGATTTTGTCTTTTTGTCATCAGCCCTCTCTTCCTTCTCAATTTCTACTCAAAAAATCCAGTTACCCATCTTCTCTTTGTTCCTCTTTTTTCTTCTTTTCTTCACCTACCATTCTACTAAACCCTTTCATGAGCTTTTATTCCTCCCCCTGTTGCCTCTTCCTCCCACACCCTCCTTTTCTTCTTTCACAACCAGCCACCGGATTCCGATGTCGATGATCTTGAGCTGAACTATGTGAGGGATAATACAGAGCTGAAGCTGCTTTTGATCTGAGACTACGGGTAGATTATTGCAGGCCAAAGGGAGCAAGTGTTAGAACATCCAACCCAAAACTAATTGGCAATGGGAGGAGCAGCTCCTCAAATATATAAATCAACTTTAGTGGTCCTAATTATTCAATATGATAAAAAAAACAAGAGAAATTTTCAGAAAATGAAAAGAAGGGGCAACAGAAATTTCTGGGAAAGAACACAAAAGGAAGAGGGTGGCAGCAAAGCAACTCTCTCTCGGGAGTTTTCCATGGACAAGCATATCAAGCTATCTTACTGCAGTTTCGATGGAGTTCAGGTTCTTGCAAAAAAAAATACCTGCAACTAGGTGCATATTCAGCGTTCAAATCAATTCAACGGTTATAGAAGAGACCAAGATTGCGCCAGCTGAAGTTGCAAGTACCTCGTGCAGAAGTCTCCCAAAAACCATGCAGAGAAATGCCTCTCCAATCTGATTAGAGTTCTGCAAGAAGCAAAGGAAGAAGCAACTATGAAGAAAGGCAAAGAAGAATCAAAAGATAAAGAACAGGCAAAGGAAGATGCCAAGGGCAAGATATGCAAGATTCTGACAAGCCACCCTAAAACAACTCAACTCAACAAAGTCTTTATCCCAATTATTTGAAATCGGCCACATGAATCTATTGCACCAAAATAAATAGCATTGACGAATTTTCAATTGACAGTTATCAAATTCATAGGGTTTATTCCAATGTTGAAGACATGTATTCTATTTATCAAACATTTTACTGAAATAGACACAGTAAGCAAGTTTATCCAGGCATCTTCAGCACCATACAATGGATCTTCTGAAAAAATAAGGCATACCCAAAATTGTAACTATGTAACGATATAAAGAATGTTGAACTGGGAAGACAACAATTAGTTACCTTTCAAGGGAGTAGGATACTTCCATTACAAGTATAACACTTTCTAAACTTGATTATACTATCACATACCATCCAACCCTATAGCTTGTAGGTCAGAGCATTGTCAATGACCATGGAAGAGAAAACCACAGGTCCTGAACATCTAGAAGTGAAATCTTTCGGTTACAACATCAGTTAAAAGGTATTGTACACTGACTGAATAAGGAAAGACTGAATTACTCCCAACCAATTCCTCATTGGTTCGTTGGTTTTGTTGAATGTAGACGTGCTGACAAATGACTACTCAATCTACATAATATTCAAAGCATCACGTAGCTCCCGGCTGTAAATCATCAATAAACTGCATGAAGATGCTTGAATTTTGCCAAGACAGAACTCTCTAATTGTCACTTCCTTCATGGAGTGGACTTATCGCAAAATTTTACATAGGTAATAACATTGTACAATCACCTTCACAAGAAAAACTACATCCCTCTCTGGCAGAGAGGAAAGATTCAGAAGTCATCTGTATCTTCATCTTTCATCGAGTTAAGACCATCATCAAAGCCAGAACCAGGCGCAAGCTCATTTAGATCAAGAAAACGTCTTTTCCTTACACCTTCAACTTCGTCTAGGCCTGGGCTATTTAATTTCTCCAGCGATTGCTCTTTCTCTACTATCACAGGTTGCTCTTCAACAGGTTTATCAACTTTCATCTCCTGGTTGTCATTGTTACCTTCAGAGTCTTGACTTCCCATTGAAAAGGCTGCATTATCACTTGCATCTGTGTGCTCGTCAGATGCATTTGACTTCTCAGATTTCATTGACTCGGTTTCCGATTCTGAGAGCTCATACTGTTTGTAATTGATGTGGTTTCTGGTTGCCCTTCTACTACGTCTTAGACCTGACTGCAGCTCGTCAACTGACCTTAACTTAGTTTCCCTCCTAGTACGGCCTGGCAATTTCTTATGGGGTTCATCACTATCTTCGCTTACACTTGAGTTATCATCATCATCTTCTTCTTCTTCTTCTTCTTCGTCTTCAACATTTTCTTCATCCCCATGATACTCTTCATCACCTTCAGAGCTGCTTGACATCTTCCTCCTTTGTTTCCGTCTCCTTAAATATTCTTCATCATATACAGCCTCCCCAACTATATCATCGTCACTGTCAAAATCTGCCTCATTATCTGAAACTTCTTCAACAAACTCTTTCCCGGAATACCGTTGGGGCCTCTGCCTTCGTCGATTGCTAGTTCAAAGAGATCAAATTGTCAGTATGTCGATGAATCTTACGGCACTAAAATAAATTTCACATAGAAAAGATGGGAGAACCTGCGATCCAATGACTCAGTTTTGTAGTGTTCATCAATTTCCTCGTAATCAGGTGATCCAGGAGATGGTGCGTCGAAGGAGAGATAAGAAATTTCTGACGGCCCACCCCATCCACCATTTGTAGAAGCATCAGGCTTCATAAAACCTTCTCCTCCAACAGTAGGTTCTGGGGACGGCTGTTTCTTTCTGATGTGAGAGTAAAAAGAAAAGGACAAATATGTCAACACAATAGTTTCAATTGTCAGAAAAAGAAAGAGAACATAAGAAAATTTTCATTCAAAAAATTATTGCATTGATTCGCCTATGTGAAGTATCATATAATATGTCTCGGTGGTAATCCATACTTGGTTATCTTGATAGCCTCATTGATTGATCGGTCATAGTCATCTGCAAAATCATCCAATATAACAGTTAAGTATCCAAATACTCAATATCACATCAGCACTCACATGCATTTACATTCTATAGTAAAAACACCACCCTCCACTATGATGAGGAGGCCACAAGGTAGTGCCCTTGCCCAAAGGGAAAATTAAAGGAATGACACAATTTTCGACAAGGCTCAGAACATGAAAAAGCACAATAGTTTGATCATTGCTTATGAAGATAAATAAACAAGTTTCATTACATGATTATGATTATATGGTTTTTTGATTCATTCTCCATGATGTATCTTTTCATAATTTTTTTCCCTTGTTTTTGGGGTGTGAGCGCCATGCTTTTTATCAACACTACTGTAGAATTTGCAAAATTTATATCATGCAACACTTGGGTACATTCTTGATAGGCCAACATTTCTTGCCTTGGATATTGTGCTGTAAGTGAAAATACGCAGAAGAACCTTCCAAAAAAAAACAGAAAATACTCAGAACAGAGCACAGCAAAATGTTCAGCCATGGGATCTAATAGAAACTAGCAGATCTCCCACAAGGGCCCAACATCTCCCACAAAAAAGGATTTAAAAAGAAAAAGCTCTGTTTTCATGTATAAGAAGACCAAGTAACACTATCCCGGATGAACCTTGTAAGAAATAAAATAAGAAAAGGGAACGCAAATTGAAGATGACAAATATCCACCGAATTTAATCATTTCACAGTGTTAGATCAAGTTTTGGGATTGACTAATTTCGTGTAGTCATTTCTAAATCTCAACTCATTCCATAGTCATGATGTTACAACAATGAAGATCCGAAAGCATTACTTAAAGAAAAGAGATTATGCGTTAAAACTACATCAAAAACACTCCGTATGCACTTTCTTTATTAGGAGAAAGTAATGACCTAGAGATCTAAGATGATCTCACTTGGTTTAAGAGACTTAGGAGAATTATTGTTAAAATAGAATCAATATTAGATTTGAGAATGGCTCCTAGGCGTTCTTCAAAGAAATTTTTTTCTAAACTTCCTATGTCTTTTGAAAACATAGAAATGAGTCATCATCGGATCACTCTTAAACAACACCCTTTAGTGTTCAAGAGAACAATTTATTTGATTGGTTTTAGGCTTCAAAAACTAGTAGGTATTGCTCTATACTTACTAGCCCTCACTTGAACGGTCTTTTCATGACTTAGGGAAATATCGGGCAAATGCTGAACAGATGACAGCAGAGGTTGCCCTCAGAGATTGCTCGAGCGATCTTGCTCTCGTAGGTCGGTTTGGAATTCATTTTTCATTCCAGTAACCACCATCCTATGACAGCCCTCTTATTACTCAAGCTGTCGTTCGCGAATTTGTATTTTCTTGTCGATCAAAATTGTCTTTATTCCGGACCTATAAATAGGAAAAACCTTTCCTACACCTAGGGTAAGTCACTTGTGAGTATTTCGACAGAGAAAATATATCTTATACCTTGAAAACTTGCCCTACAATCCCAGATCCCTAAACTCAAAGGCTACCATCTAGTGATTCTCATCCAACTACACAACTCGGAAAATAAGAACTTGCTTAGTTGAAGACCAAACTTATTGGAAGTGTGCATATCGGAAGTCTTGGGTGTGAAGCCATGAAAATTGCTCGAGACCTAAACGAACCGTGCGGTAGGGATTTCAAATAAAGCTATCCAAGATGTCGAAGAGGGATTTTCGGTGGAGAGATCTATTGAAGGAAAGAAACATCTAGCCATATGTATTGGTTGAAGTATAAAACTCAAGTACTTGTAAATTGACTTTGGATTAGTGGATTAGACTTTGGTGACTCCTAGAAAGGTTTTGTGGTATTTTCCGAGAAGGGTTTCCACGTCAACAAATTGCTTATGTTCATTCTTTTTGATTATTGTACACACTTGCAATTTGATGCACACACGGGCACTATGGGTTTGTTTTAACGCTTGATTGAATTCTCATAGCTGTTTGGTTGGGTTCGGTTGCCTTGGTTAGGATCCCCATGAGAGATTGAGTGTTGAGTGTTTATTTGATAAAATCAATACACTAATCTTCATGGGTGTTTTGAGTTGTGATGGTTGAAATGGGGCTCTCACACTTAACAACCATGTCATTGTGTGACGAGATAATTGTGGTAGACTTAGGTTAAAATTGTTAAACATCTGAGCTTAAATTTTAATTAACCTATTCAAACCTCCTCCCCCCCTTTCTAAGTCTAACGTGCAATTTCTCATGCATAATCGGGTGAAAATATCCTTCACGGGAAGTGTAGCATTTTCCCCACGCACAAGTTACAAGATTTTTTAGACCACTGATGGAGTGGGAAGCCTTAATTAGATGTGTTTGGGAACAGGTAAGCTCAAACCCAGGAATGTGATTTGATGCCATTAAGATAAGTATAAACAATAAACCAAAGGTTTTAACCATAAAAAATTAAAGATGTATGCAAATTTTATTGTTATTACCAAAAGTATAAGTGACAGGTTTTCTATCACGAAGGGAGCGTCCAGCAGCAAGGCCATTTGCACTCATCATGTTATCAAGGAGGAGAGCCTGTCTATGTTGTTTTTTCAGCAGCCTCTCTTTCCTCTGTGTGGACAACAATAGCAAAAATTGTAGCGTTAGTAAAACCAACACTAGACAATTATGATATAAGACAATACATATTAAAAAGGAATTTCCTCAGTACAAGAATAGAAGATGAGGACCGTTGAGAGTATGTGTAAATCAATTTCAAGTCAAGGAAACCACAATGATAGTCAATGATAAGTCAAGAAATAGTAGAATACCTTCTGGACCTTTTCAATCTCATAGAGCATGTCAATTTTCAATTTCTTCCCAAGTGAAGCCTCTGTCCTATTTTTACTTGAGAACAGCTTCTCCTGTGAACAAAAGATGGACAAATTTGAAAGAGAGGACGAGGAACAAAAACAAAACTTCACATTTTCAAAAACAATCAGCAAACTCCAGATTCAATTAAAAAGGTTAACTAGTGCAGATCAGATGAATGCCCTAGTACCAAAAGATTGGAACCAATTGGTGTCTCTCAATCAAATAACTAAGTGAACAAACAAAGAAAAAGTAAGAAATAGATATCTTCATCAAGGAATGATTAAAGCCCTTCCCATGTCAAAGATTTTCCATGACAAACTTTGAATGTTGACATAATGGAAGATATGATCTATCTGTCGCCAACATTATCATAAAATCTAAAGCAGCTTCTAATCAAAATGATAGAGGGTCTAAAAAACCTCATTTTACCCGTGGTTTGCACCTTATGGACATCACTCCATGACGCTTCAAAAGAGCCACATCAACCACATATGGTTCGTGGACTAAATTGAGGATTACGTGACTGTTTTAAAACGTCATAGGGGTTATGTGCATAAAGTGAAAATCATAGGGGGTAATACGAAGTTTGGCCTTATATTTTATCTGCTCAAACTTTGCTTATCAGATTGACATTGATTTTAAAGGGATCTTATAAATTGCAAAGTATCAAACTCTGATATCCTGGGAAGAATCGATACGGATACAAGATACGGGTATGATACAATATAATACGATACGATGCAAAAACGACACGTCAAAAAAAAAAAAAAAACGGATACGATCGAGAGACATCTATAATAAAACATGTTTTATATTTTTATTATGATCTAAGGACTTAATAATTACAATTTTTAGTAATTCTTTAACTATAGTAAGCAAAATTAGCAATTTTCACCTTCAAAAAAAATATAATATCATCTTATTGTGGCATATTTACAAAGTGAGCGGGACCAATTAAATGAATTGGAACTAACATTTAAATAGTTGGTTTATTCAAAAGTATTTGTTTTCAAGATTATAGTGTAATTAACTCATTATTTTAATTTGTAATAGAAAATAATCCCTAAAAAATACTTGTCTTCAAAGTCAAGAATTTTTGTTGATGAATTGCATTGTATGTGAAGTCGAAAGGAGAGAATAAATATTAAAATTAAAAATTATACATCTTACTCAATGTGTAGAAGTACCTATGAAGTATCCACATATTTTATTTATTATCGGATATGTATGATTTGTATTTGATACGTATCCTTGAATATCCGATGAATATCGTATCCGACACAGTATCTGATACAGATATGTCGACCTTAAACCCTCAGCATCCTCTCATTTGTCTTCAAAGTTTCTCGCGTTTCTCTCTATATATAAAACCCAAATTGTTACAAAAAGAACACAATTACAAAGAGTCTTCCTTCTTGCACTTCCTTTTAAACCCATATAGTGTAAACAAAACATATATAAAATAGATCTTGGAGCCATCCAACAAAGACCAACCAACTCGAACACTTTATTTCATACTGATAAAGCCATCATCAGACAATGCAAGAATAGATAATCCACACTCTCATTATCCCCTCTACACATAACACACCATTGAGGTAAAATACATGTCTTAGGTCGCCTTCTGGAGCATATCATTAGTTTTAATCTTGTCGTCTGTGATTAGTCATGCACAAACTTGCACCTTTAGAAGAACATTGAAATTCCAAATCTTGAAAGATAAATGAAAAAAATGATAGAGAATGATCGTCAATTAATGACTCTTTACAAGAGAAAGCACCAAAAGATCACTAATCCAAACTCTTTTATCCAAAAAATTTTGAGACAAAGAAATATTATCAACCATAGTAAGAAGTAGCACCAACTCTCCATGTTCCCTATCATTAGACGAAAACAAAAATCCCAAGAAACCGGAAAGAGTAAGATATGACAAATGATGCAATACATTTCTCATGATAACAAGAGATTCGATAAAGTCAAGGAAAAAGACTATCAACTGAAGACTAACCCCTACAAATATCCTCCCAAAATCGAACCCTAGACCCATCACCCACCATGAAACTCACTCTATAAGAAAAGGTAAGTAACCCAGAGAAATGAACTTCCATAAACTCTGAAAAGGCCCTTTTCAAACCCTTTAGCATCCCACCCATTAGCTTGTAATCCATATTTGCTCCTAACAATCGTCTGTCACAATCAAGGATCAAAATATCGTTTCGGTGTATTGTTTCGGTCACCTAGGAAACGAAAACGTTTCGAAGTGTTTTAAAAACGTTTCGAACCATTTCGAAAATATAATGAAAAAAATAAAAAATTTAAGAATTATTTTTCTAAAACATTGATGAAAATATATCAAAGTATCTTGAAATATCTTAAAACATTCCAAAACAATTGTGCAAATGCATTGAAATATTATAATACATTTAAAAACATTATAGAATACCTCGAAATATCAAAATTTTGATTCCATTACTGTTTCGTTTCGGTCTTCTTGGAAACAGAAACGTTTCGACTGTTTCAAAATGATATTTTGATCCTTGGTTACAATGCTCCTTGCTCCATTGGAAATTTCAAAAGCTATTTCCCGATCAAAGCCACATTTTTTTTCACCAAATTCCCCAATGACAATCCACCCTTAGCTTTTGGCCTAGTGACCGCCTTCTAAGAAACCAAATGATCCTTCTTTCCTTCCCCACTCCTTTCCAATAAAAAGTCCTTCATCATCCTTTCAATCCTTCTAGCCACCAAACAAGACATCTTAAAGAGAGACAGGTAATAAATAAGAATGTTGTGTAACATAGACTATACTAATATCAACCTCCCCCCTCTAGAAATGAGGCTTTCTTCCATCCATCTACCATTCTGCTTATCTTCTGAACAACAGGATCCCAAAAGATAATAGACATCGAGTTACCGGCTAAAGGGAGACCTAAGTACTTTAGAGGTCAACAGGCCCACTAAACATCCTAATTTCCAAGTCGATCTCTCAATTTTCTCTTAATTTGAATTAATCCTTACAATTATGTTTTTCTCCATGTTAATCTTCAAACCAAAGACTAATCCAAAATCTTAATTGACCAACAATATAATGAATTTTTTTTAATTGTTCAGGTACTCTAACGAACAACCCATCAAAAATACCAAATATACAACAAATTGTAATAAGATATCTAAATAAATCTCTTACTTTCATTTCTAGATAGGCCAAATCTTAAATACGAGAGTTAATGACATTTTATGAGAGAGTCTAGTTCAATAAATAATATACTAAATGGGTTAATTATTTTAAAGTCATAATTTTTATTGAATAAACACTCATATTTTTGTGTTAAGAAATATTTTATATTTCTTATCCTCATCGTATCCTAAACATATCAATCACATACACGAAACTTATCCAAAATTAAAAATTATTTTTTAAGTATCCAAGGTATGTATAGTGGTATCTGACACATATCCAACCTTATCCAAGACATATTCATATCTGATACATATCGAATACAGACACTTTGAAGTATCCATGCTTCATTGACAGGTACATACATTCGAATTATCAAATCATTATCACCTAAGAATGCATTTTAACATCACCAAATTCAGAAGCTGTACATACATAGATTTGGGACAATAAGGTGCTCAAATTATACAAAATACACATTAACAGGGAAACTGGTCGTATAATGAATCTGATAGAACTATAGAAGTATGTGGGTTGCCAAAAAGTTCCTGTGGCACCCCCTTTGGCACTTTCTAAACAACTTTATTTATCAAAATTATTTTCAGGAAAAAAAAGAAAAGAATCCTATTAGATTATGTTGTCTCCAGATCCAACTCTAATAACATTTGCACCAAGAATCCCTTCCTTCCAGATTCACTACTAGAATGCAGTTTAAACAAATGGTGTTGCCTGGACACTTTACCTTTTATCTTGATTTCTTTTTTATTACACTAGTTGGTGCACGCGTGCATTGCATGCCAACTATTTTGACTTTCTGTAAAAAAAAATAGACAAATTGAAACAATTTTTTTTATATTTATATGGAGATGGTTATTGAATTTTATGGGGTTCACTTGTTCCCTTGTTAGTGGACGGTTACACAAAGTGACACTTCTGAGGTGCGATAACTGTTGCACTCAATATTTTTCTCGTATTTTGGGTTATATAAACTGAATTGCATAAAGTTCAAAAAAAAAAAAATTTGAATTGCATTGAATTGAATTGCATCTAAAAACTATAATATTAAACTTCAATAAGTGATTAATAGATGAACGACTACTAATTTTTTGGACTAATAAGAAGTTACTATAATAAGTTATCATTGTCTTTTTATCTTTTTAAGGATAGTATTATTAATTAAGTTTTTTTGACAAGTATTGACATTCAAAAATAGTATATAAATTATTAGATTTATTTAAATATTTAGTTTTAGTGAATTTAGATATGCACTACATACCTACAAACATATGATGTAATTTGGTGATTATATAATAAAATTGAGTAGAAATTCATGTGTTAAATGTTAAAATCGTCTCTAATCAATTTATTCGGATCAGAACGGATATCTATTTTAACGAACTCATATATGCACTATAAAAACAAAAATTCGTTGGACAATTGAATTGATTTCGGATCACATTGTTCAAATCAAATTTGGATCGAATTTATATTGTTTGGAAAGAAGATATAAAGTAGATATTATATAATTTTTGAAAGATAAGTAAGAAAATCAAAAAATTTTCTCTTAAGTCATTTTAAAAAGGATAAAGTAGACATTATAGAATTATTGAAGGATAAATAAAGAAATCAAAAGTTTTTCACTTAAGCCACTTTTATTAGTAGTAAAGATAAAGAAAGAAGTTCAACCAGCTACATAAATACTTGCCTATTCGCTTTCAACTATGCAACCCTCACTAATTTCTGTATTTTAGTTGATGCATATATAACTTAAGACATGCTAAATTTGTTTATCATTGTTCCAACCCTTGGCGGAAAGGGGGGAAATAACAGAAAGAAGCATTTAGCATTCAATCTTCGAATGTTAGAACATGGAACGCATGAATACACCATAGCAACGACTTACAGAAACATCTTGAAATTCATCCAAACTAGTTGCAACAGTTTCCCACCGGTAGGATGAATTAGGAATGGGCTGTACATTTTTACCCTTTCCTTTTTTCACCTCCACTTTTCTAATCTCTCTGTACAACCGATGACCAATGATAGGATCATCTTCGTACCTACGAAAGAGTAAACATATAGCTCACTAACAGACACAATAGAACAATGCAGACAAACATAAATGTTATCCTTATCATTTTGAAGGGAAATGTCTAATTTATTGAATAGACTTAGGCTACGTAGATATACATTCTGTAAAACCGACAGGCAGTTTATCATGCTACAAAAATAAAGTACCAATAAGATATTCCATGAGAATCACCCCCAATGCGTTCTTTTCGAAATGCTGAAAGATGAACACCATGTTTTATTGAGTCGTCTATATAGTTCCGAATGTCTTCTTGCTGCAAAAATAGAACAACCATCTTCAACCCTACATTGTGGGTAACTGGAAAAAATGAAGAACGAAAAACATCTACAGTAAATTTCAGACGGACTAAATCACAACTTTCACTATGTTTCTTTTGTTTGCAATGGTAATCTTGTCCTGCTCTTTACTTAGTCTTCATTTCAAAAGACCACTCAACCTTAATTGCCTCCTATTTAACTAATTCATCATTATGGTTTCTGTTCTTTTATCTCTTTCTTTGAAGAGCAAAGATCTAACTAATATTGAGTAACAGAAACATAATAAGGATCATAGGTCAAAATCTTATGCAATATGTTTGTTATTGATGACAAGATATTTTGTAACCTATAAAGGTTAAATACACGATCTACCCACATAGAATAAAAAATGATGGATTGATATTCCTACCATAAGTACGTGAAAAAACAAATATAGAAAACAGGAAAAAAATGTTTTGAAGAACTTACAAAGTTATACGGAAGATAACGTTTCACCATTAGACCAAATACATCATTATCCATTACACAAAATCAGCTAATACCGACTCGTTCGGCAAACTCAACATAGCATTTAAAACAGGGCTTTAGACATTTAGAGTGAAATTAACATGTTGTTACAGTATAGAAACAAACCGGCACAAAAAATTGATACAATGATATCATTCAGAAATCATGATACCTCTATGCGAATATCACATAACGCTTTTAAGATCACCACTCGAACCCCAGGATCAAGTGCATTATAAGCTTCAACCTCAGCCCTAATAAATCAACAGGAAAAGTCCATAAGCACAAACATATTCCATTTACTAAAGTTTTCCAGAAATAAAATATTTAGTTACCCATGGGATGCAACTATAGGTAGTTCCCCCTCTGCCACCTGCAATAAAGTACCAAACCAAATAAAAGTTCAGTAGTGGGTACCAGAAAGGCAGTATCTACTCAAATCCAATATACAACTACAGTTTCAAGGAGCAATAATCAGGTTACCCAATGCCACCAATCTCTCAACTTTCTGCACAGAACAGTAACCCAAGTATTGTGTCCAAGTGCCATTCGGGTAACAGGAGGGATCGCCTATATGAAATGAATTAACAATCAACCCAAGTCTGCTACAGCAGCACATCACCAATAAAGAGAACATACTTTTTTACAACCTATGATGCATATACTTTACTGTACAAATACTTTTGTCAATACGAGACAATCAATAAATCTTGAAACATGTAACATCGAAACCAACTAGCACTCCAATTGTCAATCCACACCTAAGGGCCATCAGTCAACTTCAAGATTTTTCCCAGTAAGCGGAAACTTTTGAGTTTAGAGGGAGCGAGGGGAAGGTGACACAGAGCAGATTGTCAACAAAAATTAGCAAAAAACGTTTCTCAAAGACAGAAGATTATCACAAATAGCTTTCAAAATTCGATATGGAATAGTCAGTAAACATTGAATCAATTAGAAATTCCAAATATCTTGTCATCTAATTTTCATTCTAGTTAACTTTACCAATAAAGATAGAAAAAATGTATTAAGATTATACACCAAGATTCTAACACATACATAATTAGAATGAGTGGGAGGAGATTAATAATTTAATATGATGCTTCGCTGGGGCCAAGAATTTCTAACCAAATGTAAAGAGGTGGAAGCGCAATTTAGACTGGTTGAGCTAACCTTGATGTGGAGATTAATTTGAAAATATTGAAATTCAGTGGAGTTCCCTCTCAGATAGCAGATGCTACCTGATAACATTTTGTAGCAAATCCATTTCTGATATTTCTTAAGCACCTTAGATTTCAAGCTATCTTAGAAATTTTTGGAAACTCATTTTCAAAACTTCTGCACAAAATTTTAAGTATTTGACAAACTTTCAGCCTTATCTAATTGGTTTTAGCTCAAGCCAAGCTCACACTACCTTGCTTCTCAACTCGAAACCTTATTAGCATGTTTATTGCATCTTCTTATAAGGTAGACTTATATACCTACAACAAGAAATCTTCTTTGGATAGTAAGGAACTACTCTTTACCTACCAATGCATCGTCTGATATAGAGATGCCAATTCTGTACACACCTTTTTTATCCACAATACAATTCTTGTCAACCATGAATTTTTGTTCAACTGGATTCCAAACTCGTGTTGTGCATATGCTTCCCATGATCATTGTATCAATGCCATCCAAAGGAAAAGTAGTCTTGCATCAATCAACCACTTATAAACTATGAAAGATGGACGGCCTCCTTGTATATAATCGTCTCTACTAACACTGGAAAAATGAAAGATCAATGTGGTGTTCTCTTGTAATTGGCGCTATAAATGAAAAATCAGAAGTTCATAGTGGAGCCAACTATTAGCATATGAAACAGTGGATTCTAGCATGAAAAACTATGAACAAAAGACAATTATCCAGTTGGGGAACTATCAATATAAAGAAAACAGTACTGGACATGCAGAAAACAAATTGAACCAATGAGCTATTGCATTACAACAGAAGTATAATAGTTTTGTCTACTTGCAGACAAATATCATCAATTTTACAATACATTCATTTTCCGAGGTTATATGGGCATACATCAAATGCTTTGAAACTCCAAGATTTAGGATGGGTCTTTTTTGCACATGACTTACTTCTCCAGGATAGTTCAGCAAGTTAAAAGGAAAATCACATTGTTCTCCTAGCATTAGCAGCCACTCTAGGCAAAAGGTCAAACCCAGAAAACAAGCTACTTGAAGAAAACAATTCATCACACCGGGGACTATGCTAATTATGCATTCCCAATAAAACAGAAGTGCCCAAAATTGCATACAACAGCTCAATTTGCACTAAAAATACCAGCTTTATACATTCAAAAAAAAAAAAAACACTAACCTTCAACAATGGCATATGTATTTCCCCCAAAGTATTATTCGGCATAATCAACGCAGTCTCGAACTCTTCAGCCGAGAATTCGGCGTGAATATTCAAAAGATGCCTAAAAACCTAAAACACACAAAACACCAAATAACACACATTAAACCCCAAAACCACATCAAAATCATTATATCCACACTGAAAACACCATTTCAACTGCAAAGATTGAGACTTTGAGAATTGTGAAGCTCACATTGAGGAAGTTGAATATTGAAGCCAATTCCCACATTGACCGGAGGCCCCACCGCGGCAACTGCGACGGCTCTGGCTCCGCCACAAGCTGCGTCACAATCTTGCTGCATTGCGACGAGGTAGACGGCGATGGCGGCCGCTCTTCCTCCTCCGGTGGCAGCGGCAATCGCTCTTTTCGCGTCGCAGGCTTCTGCTTCCTCTCGGCAGCGACCACTGCCGCCTCCACCGCTGCCGCCGCGTATAGCCGCGCAGCTGAGCGTGCCGTACAGGCCCTCGACGGCCTCTCTCTCCTCACAAAATTATTGTTATTGTTATTGTTGCTATTGCTGTTGTTGTTGTTTTGGGTTTCGTTGCTTTCAGTGTTTTGGGTGTTGTGAGTGTTTTTGGTTGTTTTGGGTATTGTGAGTCTTGTCAGGGGAAGATGAATTTGAATGGATCGGAGAGGAGGGGTGGTCGTCGGACATGGTGGGAAGATCGGGGTTATGATTCTCTACGGAGGAATTTACATGGGAGATCATGGGTTTGAATTGAAGGGATTGGAGGAGAGACTACAGAGTGTTAATTTAGAGGGAGAAACAAAAATCAAGAATATAAAATATAAAAAAAAACAGAGACTTTAGGTTTAGAGAGAGAGAGAGGTATTGAAGTTACAAAGCATCAATATCATCACACACATAGGTTTTGTGTCCATCTGTGTCTGTGTGTGTTTGGGTGTGATGGGTAAGAAAATCTGAGAGAGAGAGAGAGAGAGGTCTTGTGATTTATTGTGGATGAAAAAAGGAAGAAAAAGAAATTAATGTGATTTGCTATGGTAAATATGATAATAAGTTTTGTTCGTTGATTGAATGTGGGGTTTAGGGCAAAAGGGACGAGGAGCCAGTTTTGTTCGATTGTGAACGTTGAAGGGACAGTGGACTGGAGGATGAACATTGAACGACGACGTTGGGAGAGAAAGAAAAATATCGATTTACCGCACTTTTCGACAATTTCGCTTTCACCATCGAAGTGAAATCAAAAAACATTTTTAATACTTATAAAAATATTTTTTTTTCTTTTTGTTGGATCATTTGTTGAAAGCCGAATCAACAATTTCATTTTCAAAAATCGTAACAAATCTGTAAATAAGTTGAAAAGTATGATAGATCGGTATTTTTGTTTAAAAATGACAATTTTTTGGTAATAATTCTAAAATTTTTGTCATGTTGCCCTTTACAATACTTATTTAACGAATGAGTTGTTGACCTATTGGGTAAGAATTCGAATTTTCTCGTTTAATATTTGAGTTTTAGTCTCTATAATTATGATAGCTCATCAGGACTACTCTTCAGCGCCCAGAATATGCGGTGAGATTTTAGTTTCGACTTTGACGTTCTCTCGCGAACATATAAGTAGCTTATTTACATATTCATTTTTTGTACCAAAAAAAAAACTTATTTACAATAACTTAAAAATCACAGCGTGCATATATATTATAGACCCACTTAAATTTATAATAAATAATTTATCAAAAAAAGTAAAAATAAAAATATATTGGTGGAAATCCCATTTCATAATAAAATAACTGGTATAGAAAGGAGATATGAGTCTTTATCACAAATTGTTGTGTTGTATTGCGATAAAATTTGTTTAGTTTTGTAAACAATGTTATAGTAATTTATTTCATATTATAATTTATTATTTTTATTAGATTAGTTGGGAATTTAAAGTTAGATGTATCACATTTTTAATCTAATGACTATAATTAATTAAATTTTTGTATTAGGTCCTCAAATTAAAAAAAATAACATTTTCCTGTGTTTCTATCTTTTTAAATATTAAAAAAAATGTGATGAATCAATTTGATTAGAATTTAAATTCGTTGAGGATAAAAGTATATTTGTATCCATTTAGGCCAAATACATATATACTTGATATTTTCATATTAGATTCAGGTTAAAAAGTATAAGTGATAGTATCCTTTATAATATAAATTATTTTTTCTCGTAAAGAAAATTGAAAAAATAAATAGTATTCTCTATTGTTGAAGTGGTATGGATTTGAGGTGATTTGTGGATATCGATTTTAGAAAAAATGCACTTTGTTTTGTTTTGAGTTATTACATCATTATGGCAATGTCAAATTACTTTATTTTTATTTTTATTTTTAGTCAATATAACATTACTGATTTATTTTTGGTTCTTAGAATTCGAACACACACACACAAAAAAACAAAAAATTATGATGTTAAAGCTCCTTTTATGAAATCTTGAAGAGAAATTTGAGTACAAAATGACAAATTCTAAAAATAAAATAACCTCTCTCTCACACATCTATTCATTCTTCATTGAAATAATAAAGACATATTTTGGATGAATTTGTCTTATTAACATAGCAAATATTATATTAATGAATTAAGCAACTTGACTTAGATGTTCCTCTTCTCTTACTTTATTACACCAATTACTACAAAAGACACCGATTATCTATAATAAATATTTTATATTGATGGATAGGTCTTTTGTTGCGCTATCTCTTGATCTTTCTCCCCCTCTATTGATCGTACATCCTTAAAACTGTTCACATGTAGCTGTTTGTTTTTAAATATGTTCCAAGGAAACCAAGAAGGGTTGACTTCAAAAGAGAAGTTATCAATTCATCAACATCATCCTTAAAAAAATAATTCCAAAGTCATAACATAATAGTTTGGGAATCGAAGGGATAGGTAGGCCAAACTTATACCTCGACTCAGAATATGAAGGGAACTATGTCCTTAATTTGAGGTGAGAGAGTGATTTAGTTCATCTTTTATTTGTAGGTAGTTGTGGGTTCAACTTCGGCCTCTTTGCCCTCCTCTTTCCTCACTCAAAAATTCAGATTAAACTCACACACACACACACGACTCATCTACGATCTCTTCGAGACCAGCCCATTTCTCGCGTATGAAACTTTATTTTAAGAGATTGACATAAAAAAAAAAGAAAGAAAGAAACACACACCACACACAAAAAGCTCTTCACATGCTATGCAAAAAATTTCTTGGGTTATGGACCTTTGAATTGGGCCTAAATAAATAAATAAAACAAGCCTCCCAAAACACTTTATAGTAGAAATTAACAGTTGACTTAAGAGTCACCATCTCCATTGTTGAACTTTAAGATCGTGAATTCAAACTTTTTCATCCCCTCCTGTAATAATATCTGACAAAACAAAAAAATACTTTATGGGTTATGGACATCTGAATTAAGCCTAAACAGATAAAAAACAAGCTTACATTATAACGTCTAGTCGCAAAGATAAATTTTTGTCAAAACTAATTTATATGTTTAAGGCATATATTTATAGCCTTTATTTAACACCCGCAATGCACTAGATAGATGGATTATTGATAGGATTGTAAGTTTGTTATCATTTTTTTTTAAATCATCTCATATCTTTTGAACTCGTGAACGTAATATGAGTTAGATCTTTATATTATTATTTAACAAATTGCGTACATCAGGTCAATTATAAATGTCTTTTTTGTAAGATTCGGATATACTACTAAAATCAAGTCAAACTTTACAACATGACAATTTAACACGTGTGGGATCCAAATTATATTACATTATTCTTACAAAAGGTTTTACCTATTATAATTAATGTAGGTCGCATAGATGTATTTTTTTTTTGCTTGTTTGTGAGATTGTATAGATGTTTAGTTGTGTGATATGACACCAACAACACCATCTTCAATTTTATTTGTCAATGATGAAAGCCTTCTACGGAGTTACAATTATTCAACTCTATCCTTATTAATTTAACTTCATCTCTTTTTGGTTGAAGAACAGGAGTTTCTGGATTAATTTATGCACTTATACGCATTTCGATTAATCTTTTTTTCAATTTAGTTTGATGATGCATAAAATAGTTTTGTACACCACCTGTCAAGTGTGAATAATAAATGCAAGAATAAAGGAAGGAGATGGAGAGACACGAGGAATTAATAGTGGTTCGGTTAACTCGACTTACGTCCATTCTTGAAGAGCTCTGATCGCCGGGTACTTTATTAACTCAAGGTTGAGGGGAGTAGAGAGTATAAGCTTTGAGGGAGAGGAGAGAGTCGTGCTCAGGTAAAGTGTGATGCCCCCTAAGTGTTGGTGGGACGTGCAATTTATAGTGGCCCCCTAACAGATTGGAGTTACTTTATAGTAACTAAATAACTATTCTGGTAGAGTTCACGACTTCTTCTCAACGGGCGAGGAGCTTGGAGAGCTCTCCATGAGATGTGATCAAAGATAAGGTGAGGGTGGACCGTTTCCTTCTGCAGTGCAGGTAAAGCTCCCATGCTCTCTTCTTGATGACGTTGTCAAGCAAAGAGTTTGACTAGTCTTGAATCGTGTTGAGTTTGGTGGGTATTTTATAAGGTTGGACTTATAATTGGGTTTGGGCTTTTTTCATAAACTGGGTTATTTGGGTTCGACCCATCATTTGCCCCCCAATGCCTCGTATCCAAGGAAACTTAGAGAGGGGTGCACTAGTTTGCTCCTTATGTTATAAGTAGTGGAGACTTTCTCTGCTAGATGACTCTTTCCCTCCACAATGTATTTTTGTTCTGGTACATGCCTCAAGTTTCTTCACTTTTGCTAGGATTTTTAAGTTTGAGCCCATGACTTCCCTTCACTTCCCTCCACAATGAGCCCATGACTTTCAATTTGAGTTTTTTCCTCTTTAAAAACCCTAGCCTATAAATATAACATTTTTCTTCATTCTACCAATTTCTTCCAACCTATTCAAGAGTGCCTCTTCTTGGAATCTCTAGAGACCCAAAGCTTGGGATTCTTGAATTTGAGCATCAATGTTGACCGGAGAGAAAACCCATATTGGCGTTGAAGATAAGGTAGGTAACACGAACACTATGGCCGAATCTGTTGTGCAATCAGGCATTTCTCATATTTTTGCGGGTTCAAGCAAAATGGTTGAAATGAGCTATGGTGATGGAGTATTCGGCACCTCTCATAGCATTGACCCAGGTGGTTTCAGTGCACAAGGTAGAACTAGAGAGGAAAGAGAGGTGCTGCCCAGTGTGACTTAGACGCCAAAAAAGGGGCAACCAGATCTGGCAAGGGCTGTCCAGGCCGCGGCTGGGCGGGCACCGAAGGCCAACAGGCACGTGGCAGGTGGGGCTGTCCAGATCGCGGGTCTGCGTAGTTTTGGAGAGTTTCCTCGTACAGTTAGGTGTGCAAGGAGTGTGGTGGAACGTCCTGGTGTAATGGGCAGTTGTCTAGGCGCTATCCAGGACAGCTCTGGCGCGATGGGCAGCTGCCTGGATGCTGATACTGCTGTCCTGGACAGCTCTGGCGCGATGGGCAGCTGTTTGGGCGCTGAGAATGTTATCCTAGGCAGCAACCTTTTTCCAGTTGGAGGCACAAAAAACTAGGCCAAGGAGCAGCGGGGAGAGTTGAGCAGCAGCCTAGGCGTAGGGGCAGATCTGGGTGCCACTCCAGGCGCTAATTTTGGCACCATAGGCGCTGATTTGGGCGCCAGAGGTGTTGTTTTGCACAATTTTGAAGGGTCAGACACCTCTCTAGCCACTGGACAGCTCTGTTTGGGCGAGCAAAGGCGGTCAGACACCCCTCTAAGCACTAGGCTAAACACTGCAGGCGGCAAGGAAGCTTTGGGTGTTGCTTACGATGATTAGGATTTGATTGTGACTCTTCCCTACGGCCCCAAAAGAAGAAGGGCAAAGGCAAGTGGAACTCGATGATGATGGGTTTAAGGTAAATACCCTTTCCAGTTTGTTTCATTTGGATGAAGATATCTTGCGGCTTGTTTATACTTATCGCATTCCTCTGACCGTGCTGTGCCGCCGGACTGAGTCGGACGAGCTTGCTTGCGACGACTCTTCTGGTGATATTATTGATTACGAGGAGATGCTTAAGGTTAGGCTAAGATTCTCCATGTCCTCTCCCATTTGTCGCATTTTGCATTACTTTTTCTTGACTCCGGGGCAATTAGCGCCTAATGGTTGGAGAGTTCTGCTGGG